AATCGGTTGAGAATAGCTCTCTCTCTCTCTCTCTTCCTCCCTTCCTTCTCCCTCCTTTCTCCTTCTTCTTCTTTCTCCTCCTTTTCTTTCTGCTCGACGGGAAATTGGGGGGTTTTTGGGTTCTTTTAATAGGTTAGTCACTTAACATAAGTTAAGTGGTAACAAGTGGGTTTTAGTTCGTCTATCTATTCAACTCCATTAATTACCAAACTTTACCCAAAAGTCTGGAACATTATTCTAGGAATATTTACAATTTTACTTTTATATTTTGGGTACTTTTGCCTACATCCATTTATACCCCTTAATTTTTACTGAGTACACTTTTTACCTCAAAAGTGGCCCCAACTCACTTAATTAGGCCATATACTTAATTTTACTCACTAATACGTACTTAATTACTTAATTAAAATTAATCAATTAAATGCTTAAGTTTGGGGTATTATATCAATGCTTCTCTTAATTCATATAATTTGTTAATTATTTTCTTTTTTTCTTATAGATACTATAGTGAACAATGGCTTAATCAAGATTCTAGTCGAGTTCCTCCACTTAAGGATCAAGAGATTAATCAATAAACACAGTAATGCATGAAGAGATACTTTCCTAACTTGGAGGACCAAAATAAATTAAATTTGGAGTATGTGGATTTTGCTAGTATGAGTGGGGGTTTTAGAGATTATAATGCCATCCAAAATCGATAATCTATGTAGTCTAAAACTTGGTGGATGCTTTATGGTGCTTGCGCACCTATGCTTTAAAAAATAGCATTGCGACTCATTGCACAACCCTCTTCTTCATCATGTGCTGAACGCAATTGGAATATTTTTCTTTTGTGCGGAGGAATACTTATTCTTTTGTGAGGAGGAATAAGATGACTCTAAAATGTGCTAAAGACTTGGTTTATATACATGGCAATCTTCGACTCTTATCAAGAAAAAGTCCACGTTATGCACAAGAAGATAATAAAATGTGGGACATTGGTGGAGATACATTTGATAGATTCGAAGATGTTGGAATTCTTGAAGTTGCTACTCTTTCTTGATAAAAGTCGAGAAGGTTGCTATGTATATAAACCAAGTCTTCAACACGTTTTGGAGTCATCTTATTCTTTCTCGCAGAATGTACAAAAGAATAAGTACTCTGATTGCGTTTAGCACATGATGAAGAAGAGGGTTGTGCAATGAGTGCAATGCTATCTTTTGAAGCATAGATGCACAAGCACCATGAAGCACCTGCCAAGCTTTGGGTGCTATAGAATATCGATTTTGAATGACATCATAGTCTCTAAAACCCCTCTCATACTAGCAAAATCCACATACTCCAAATTTATTTTATTTCGGTCCTCCAACTTAGGAAAGTATCTCTCTGCATTTTTGTCTTTCTTGATTAATCTCTTGATTCTTGTGTTGAGCAACTCGACTAGAATCTTCGTTAAGGCATCGTTAACTATAATATCTAAAAGAAAAAAAATAATACAATTAACAAATTATATCAATTAAGAGAAGTATCAAACCCAGTCATTTAAAAGCTTACTTGGGATTCAAAGCATGCGCTAAACAATGAAGTGAAGTTGAATTTTTGGTCCAACGATCCACAAACCACCTCAACAAAAGTTGAGGTCTCGTCCATCCTCTTCATTTCGTGAAAGTATATAATTTTCTTCAATTTCTCAATTATCTCATCCCACATATCTTAAATCAAATGAAAACAAGGTTTATTAGTGTCACAAATTTGATCATATCACAAATGGGAGCAGTGAAAGCAAATATGTAATCAATTGATCCCCACCAAAGATCATCCAATATTATTTTCCTTAAAAAATCTCGCCCTCCCTAGATTATCGTCTTTATAAACACTCCATTTTTCATTGATCACCAAGTTATAAAAAACAAATTCAATCCCACAAATTCATTAAACATTGATAGTCTCATAGAATGATTTATTTTGAAGTTCTTTATTGTAGAAACATCTCCAACAATTTCAGAATTCCAACTACGTTCCTCATATGCTATTTGATTATTCTCCACATTTGTAGAGCATAAATGTTTTTCACAGCTTAATTCAGTGTGTGAACAACACATGGTATCCAACTAATAGAAGAAAATTCTTGCTCAATAAGTTGCCCTGCTCCCTTACAATTTGAAGCATTATCTGAACCACTTTTTCATGCTCAGCTTCTTGAATTACTTCTTTTAACTTCTTGAAAATAAAACGTCTATCCTTAGTCTCTCTTGAACAATCAAACTGATTTCAAAAATATAGATTCACCATCAGATACTGCCATGAAATTAATAAATGGTCTCCTTTGTGAATCACTCCATCCATCACTCACAATACTAACACCCTTCTCATTCCATCCACCTTGAATAGGTGCACACAACCTATCAATATTTTCCTTCTCTTTTTGTAAAAGAGTGGTTCGCAACGAGTTGTATCCTGGTGGCAAACTCCAATATTATGATCCGCGGCATAAGTGAAAGCGGCTTGAAAATATGGGTTTCTTGCTCAATTGAATGACTGCCCTGTTGAATAAAGTATCCTAGCAATTGAGTGATTTAATTCTTCCCATGCCCCAAACATTGAATGCACTCTCAGAAGGACTTCTAGTTGAACTTCCACCCTCACTCCCACTTCTTGTTTTCGAGTTGGAATCTATGAAAAAGCTAGAAGGGGATAAAGGTAAAGTTTTTGGTGCATTATTCTTCAATCTCTCATTAGCTTCTTGTTCTAATTTTTCTATATCTAGCAAGTCTTTTGTTTCGACATATAAACATTTTGCAATTCCTTTACTTGATAATTTTAACAAATGAGCCCTTACTCTAGTATACGAACTTCTATATTGTTTGCACAAAATTGCATTTCCAAGGTATATTCCCTCATGCTTCCGTTACAGTGTTTACTTTGGTAACGTATTTCCATAATAATTTACATAGAGTTTCATCATCCGCTGAATTTGGCTGAGATGCACTACTCACAATAATTGAATCCATTCTATAAAAGTAAAATAAAACACTACATAAAATAAACTAGGTAGATAGCCAGATAAAAGTTAAATTTCAGATTGGACATGTGCATTCCTCTATAACTAGATTTTTCGTTATTTTTCTTCCTCGGCCAACTAGGTAGATACCACGGCCAGGGATCGCTGTACCTAACATGAATAAAAACACGGAATTACATTCTCATCTATGAATAAATAAAGTAAACAATTTAAGTTGAGACTTCATGGTGTAACAAGAGAGACATTAGAAAGGTAAGGTGATTGGGCATTATTTTTCATTTTATTTCATGTTTTTCAATCTCTATTTTCACCTTCACCAAACTCTAGATAAAAAGAATCAATGATTCATAATTAGACTATTAGCAAAGTGTTTCTCACCAGCTAGACGATATTTACATATCAATGCATATTATTATGAAAATCTTATTATTCAAACCAACGTAACAGACAATCAATGTGCATTTTACATGTGTCTAAGAGGGTTAGTTAATGATCCAAATCATTCAGATACCATTCTATGCCTTATAATATAATATAAAATAACATAATATAACGCGTAAGATAAAAAGAAAAAAGAAGGGAAAGAGAAACAAAAAAAAGTAAGAAGAAGGAAATGAAACAGTGGAAATTGAAAATGAATAAGTGCCTGTTTGGATCCTCTCTTTTTTAAGCTAGAAGTAATTTATAAGCATAAGCTAAGCCAAACAGGTTTTGAGAAAAGTTCTTATAAAGAAAAACTCTTTTTTTTATAATGAAGAAAAAAGTTAAGAGCTAAAAAATGCCAGGAGGGACTTTTTTATAAGCTTTTATCTGCTTTTCTTGAATTGTGTGTTTTTTAAAAAAATGAAGAGCTATAAAGAGAGAGAGATATAATTTTCTTGAAATATGTGCTTTTAAGTAACTTTTAAGCTAAAATTTGTATGTAATTACTACACAGCTTCTAGCTTTTTTTTTTTAAGCTTTAACTTATAAGTAGTTTCTAGCTTAAAAAAGAGAGGATCCAAACAGGCTCTAAGCAGAAGAGAAGAAAGAAGAAAGATAAAAAGAAGAAAGAAGGGAAAGAGGAAAAAAAAGTAAGAAGAAGGAAACGAAAGAGTGGAAATCGAAAACAAAGAAGAGAAGAACTTCATTCCAAATGCTATCAATGACTTTGATGCCTTCTTGACCTTCTTCAGAACACGATCTATCTCTCCCTGAAGCTTTCGACTATGATGTTATCGCAGCTTCCGTTGCTTGCGCCCTCATTGTCTCGTCCTTCAGCCACCCTTCGTCGTAGTCGCAGGAATCATTAGCCGCCGCACCAAGGTTTGAGTTAGGGACATAGGGTTTCATTTTTGAGAGGGGAGAAATGGGTTGGTCTCTCGCTGGTGGGAAGTAGGGAAGGGAAGGAAACACTGAAAGTTTTTAACTTTTCATTAAATGTATTTTTTTAAAAATTCTAATTTTGTTACAAAAATGTCATTTGACCTTGTTGAACATGGTCAAATTCACGTGTCGGATTGGTCAACGTGTCGGAAATATTGACCACGTGTCGGATACATGTCGGATCATGTCATATGTCTACACTTACTCTTCAGGTTTTTCGAAGTGTCCATGCTTCATAGATGAGCTGCAAGAGAGAGTAAATTCTTCCAGCATTCATCATGGCCACGGAAGCAATGTTTCCTTGTAACAGAATATTTTACAATGATTTGCAGAAAATATCATCTGGTAAAGGATGCGAGACAGATGTGGGACTATTACAACACTTTTTCTCCTAATGCTAAAAGTAAAACATTAATTTTGGTAGTACTTGATTTTATTTGAGTAGGGTCCAACTAAATTCTAGTACTTCTTTGTCTGTTATCTTTTACTTATTAAGCTTTCTTTATCCAGCATCTGATGGTGTAATTGGGTTTGTGGGACTGGTTGCATCTGTTTAGTTTCCCTTATATGCAAATGCGGCTTAGAGTTTATTCTCATGATACACAATTTCTTTTCCTTCTCGATTTGGCAACAGACCTAGCTATCGTAAGCTTTCATCTTTAAGAAGCCGCCTACCAGATGTACCAGTATTAGCTCTGACCGCCACTGCTGTTCCTAAGTGAGTCTCCTTAATTTATTTTCTTTAATAAATTAGTTTCTTTGTGCTATATTTTAATTTTGTACATGAATGTATTTCTCATTCAAACGTGTTTTTGCAACCTTATCTATTATTTTGAAAAATAAATTTCCAATTGTTGTGGAGTTCTCCAATAGTTATTCCCCTGTAGGTAGTATATATAAACATATCAATAGCAACTTCATGATATATTATGTATCGTGAGATGATTGTTTTTTTATTATGGAACTGTCAAATTATTTTTTGCTAGTTGCTATGCTTATATTATCATTTCGCATTTTGTGTAATATTTTTGGAGCAGGAATTCACTTCGTTCAATTTTTTACGTATTGAGGGGTGAGAAATAAGAATCACGTTGTGGCATTGAATCCTTAGTTATTTGATTTCTTCAGGGTTCAGAAGGATGTCGTAGATTCCTTGCAGATGCAAAATCCATTAATACTGAAATCTTCTTTTAATCGTCCTAATATATATTATGAAGGTCAGTCCTGTTTGCAGTGTGATTCACAGCTCTTAATCAGTTCAGCTTAGTTTCACCCTACTTGTATTTCATAATTTGCATGTTAGTACTGTTGAAGCATTACTGTCCTGTATTACATGTAATGTGACTTGCACATGAATATCAAACCAATCCACTCACTACATAAATGTTTGCGCCTGCTAACTTATGTTTGGAGATGAAGGTACAATGTCGAAGATAGAAGAAAGCAAAAGAATTGCATGCAAATTTCTATTTAAGAAAAAAAAAAGATCTTCATGAAAATAGATAGGATGCAAATATCAACATCTTTGAGAAAATCCTTCCAATACCAAACCAGTAGATTTAGGGTTATTTAAGCATTCTAGTTACTTGCATGAGTTTTATTGATGAATTACTCTACATGTTGATTTTGCATGAGATGCAGCTACTTAACAAATTCAAACAAATCTGACTATATTTCTAAATGATACAGTTAGATACAAAAATCTATTGGATGATGCTTATGCTGATTTATGTAATACACTCAAATCTAAGGGAGATGTCTGTGCAATAATTTATTGCCTTGAACGTTCAATGTGTGATGACTTGTCGGCTAATCTATCCCAAAGTGGCATTTCCTGTGCTGGTAATATTTTTCATATTTTTTGCTGCTTTTGCAAATTGATTCACAACAATTATCAGTTTATACGATATTCATATTATATTTGGTATTTTCAGCTTATCATGCAGGATTGAATAATAAAATGCGAACTTCTGTGTTAGATGATTGGATTTCTTCCAAGATAAAAGTTGTTGTTGCCACTGTTGCTTTTGGGTATGTTTTGCCTTTTCGTGTTTGTATGAAGTAGCATGCTTTTGTTGTCCTCTCTCAATTTTTTCATTGACAATCCTAGTCGAGGATATATAGCCATATTTTGCATTTGAAATGCTTTAACATTGACATACATGATGCATAATACTTGCTGAGTGACCTTATTCTAGGATTAAACGTTACAATGTTTTCAGTGGTGTAGTTTAAGTCTTTTAGTAGTACTAGTTTGATTTCAAAACTAGCGAAAAGGAGAATGTGACAAACATCACTACTGCCCTTAGACTCGGTTGTCTTTCTTTATTTGAGAGCATTAGTCAGAAAATTTTAATATTGCAATCTGCCCATTGCAATTACCTAGATTTTATCCCATGCAAGTAGAATTCTGGGAGTGTAGCTTGTAGTTGCCAGTGCCTTGCCAGACCTTTGGACCTGCATTTGATTTCCCGAGTTTGTTGTTGTCCAGTGTCCTGATGTATAGTTCATTCTTGTTTAAGAGTGTAAAGAATCATTTCAACCCAAAAGTTTAAGCTATTAGGTGAAGACACATTAATGGTTTTTATTTCTCTAACATACCCCTCACATAAGAACTCATTGGGCTTAAAAGGTAGACAATGTATAGGGCTACCTACCTGTATTATGAAATTCTACAATATTAATTATTTATGAATATAATGGGGGCGGTGAGAATCATACTTGTGACCACTTGGTCATAGAGGTTTTGATATCATATGAACCATTTCAACTTAAAAGCTTAAACTGTTAGGTAAAGTCACATTAATGGTTTTATATTTCTGTAAAATAGAGGAACACTTCTCATGGGAGTAGTGGACTAGCTTCATTGAATGACCAAGTAATTTCTTTTGAAGGAAGTATTTCATAAAGCCAATTTCAACAACCCCCCTCCCCCTTATGAATGTCTATTTTTTTTTTTAATTGTTACAAATATTTCAACATTAATTTTATGCTTAGTGCTCTTATAGTGACAAGGGTTCTTAGTGCTGTAGCAAGTAGTGCTTAGCATAGCACACACTACATTAATGACATCTATATCCAAGTAAAACCACTAATGTGTATTGAAAACTAAACTGACATTGAAAATATAAGTCAGACAACTCAATAACAACCCTATGTTTAACTGAAATTAACCATAAAACACAAGTGCTGTTGCATTGCATGGATGCGGGTGCGAGGATCTGTTACAATATAACGCTCAGATATGATAACTTTTTTAAAAATTTTTTGAGAAATGAGTATGGCAACATATATTAAACATTTATATTTATATGTGTAAAATGATAAAATAAAATTTATCCATCTGTGATGATGGCAACCTGATTCCGATGTGTTCTTCCTCTTCCTCAAACACTTTCGGCCCTTGCCATGTGCTCTCTCCTGCTCTCATTGAGCCCCTACTCCACTGTGTCATCCCCACGTACCATCAAGGTTGTCATCATCATAATAGCTCTTTGGTGAGGATGAAAATCTGTTGTTCTTTGCGATGATTTTAAGGACAAGTTTAAGAATATGCTTTGAGGGAGGTAACCGGTGAGTACAAGATTTGAATCCATATCTTGAATTTTCTTATTAACAGTACTTTGAGGGTGGTGGATGTTCATAAAAAGGGATATGCTGAAAATATGAATGCAGGTATCATGTATCATACGAGTGTTCTTATTAGATTAAATCATAAATACTTCACCATTGAGTTTTGCTAGAAGTAGAACTCATTTTGCAGGAACCTAAATCAGGGAGGAGACAATGAAGAAATGGAGAAGAGAAGAGAGAATGAAGAAACAGAATAGGCTGAAAAATTACTTTATTGAAAAAAAAAATGTAATAGATATGAAAGACACGTGAGAGCTATGCAAGGTATGGGAGATTTGTTTTTAATAGGAAACTGGGAAAGTCATAGAGAGTATGTATGGGTAGTTACTTGTCTAGCAAGCTCTTATGGTTATAAATACTTATATTAGGTAATTGTTTGAGGTATGAGAAGGCTTGGATTGAGAGCCCTAGTAGAGATGTAGGGATAATGTTGAGAAGTTGTGGGATAAATTATATTGAGAGTACCCACAGAAATTATCCTGTAATTTATACCACGTTAAACTGTGTGTGATGTTCTGCTTTTCCTTAATTAATAGTATTTATAAAGGCTCATGTAGAACCCCAACAGTAAATTGTGGGGATAGCTTGCACCATTGCCACACAGTTTAGAAATTGCAATGACACAGGTATAGCAAAGAGGAACTGCTGCTAGGGAAAGCTACAGCACTATAGTGAGTGACTGTTATTGCATGCTATTTATAACTGTTTTTGTACCAACGTTTAAGGGAGTCTGGCATTTTCTGTCAATATTTAATGGTATACTACAAAGAGTTTAATCTGTTTAATTAGAAAAGGAGGGTAGCAAAATGAGCACGATTCTTATTGCAGGGGTTTAATATTTCTCCTACAAGTTGGAGATAAAATATCTCGGGCAAACATAAGAGATTTTGTGGGGTCCTGCGAGGAGGAGAGAGAGAGAGAGAGAGAGAGAGAGAGAGAGAGAGAGGGGGGGGGGGGGTGAACCCACCCATTTCTGTTTCTGCAGGAGAAACATTAAATCCTTAATTATTCAAAGCATTTTCTAATTTTAGTGTGATGCTAAGAACTTATGATTTATTCGAGATTGTGATGTATTCCTTTCTTTTCTTTTAATACTGTGCATGGAGCTGTTCTGTTGCTTACAGTTACTGAAACTTGATGTTCATTCAGAATGGTAAGTGCCCATTTACTATTAATTTGATTTAAGCTTCGATACTCATATGATTTGCTAGTAATAGCTAAAGATCAAATTTACCAGGGCATTGATAGAAAGGATGTCAGAATTGTGTGCCACTTCAATATTCCCAAGTCAATGGAAGCATTCTATCAAGAGTCAGGCAGAGCAGGTCGTGATCAATTGCCTTCAACAAGTCTGTTGTACTATGGGGTAGATGATCGCAAAAGAATGGTTGGTTCACTTAACTTGATACTTTGATTTGATATTGTTTGTCTTTTTAGATTTGTTTTCTCTAATTATAATCTGTGTCAGGAATTTATATTAAGCAACTCAGGGAGCAAGAAGTTACAGTCATCAAATTCACAAGAAGAATCATCCAGAGTGTCCCTGACTGCTTTCAATCAGGTGACATCTGAACCCCTACATTTTTTTTTAAATACAGTATCTATGCACTATGCCATTATGTATTTAAGTAATGGAATCTATATGTAAATATGTAGATGGTTGAATATTGCGAAGGATCTGGATGTCGTAGAAAAAGAATTCTCGAGAGTTTTGGAGAACAGGTAATGAAATATATGTATATGGCTCTATGTAATATATGTTAACCCAAGTGGATAATTTATTGTCTTTGTTCTAAGCAGGTAACTGCGTCACTATGTGGAAAAACATGTGATTCCTGCAGACATCCAAACTTAGTTGCCAGATATTTGGAGGATCTCACAACTGCCTGTGCTCTACGGCAGAAAAATGGTTCTTCTCGAGTTTTTATCACCAGGTGCCATATTATTCATGTGTAACTAACCCTCTTGAACCTACTTCTTTGAATAATAAAGCTGTTCTTCTTTTTGTTGTTGTGTGCAATCTCTTTTTTTTCTGTTCACTTGAATTTTCAAGCTTTAAACAGACCCAGGGCTGTAACAAACTTTAGCCGCTTAACTGTTCTAACTAACTACTCTTTGACCCTATCATACCATGTGATATTCCCCTATCATGCATAGACCCGAATACTGGAAAGGATAAGAAAAAATAAAAGGAACTTAAAAAAAATGAGTAGTTTTTCCTCCAGCATGAGGATTGTGTGGTCTGACTCTTGTTAACACTTAATGGTTATTCCTGTTTATCTTGTAATTGGTTTGATGGCAATTGCCTTATACTATGTCTATATTAATTAGAGCAGTTAAATGATGCCTAGTTTTCTGATTTACCCACTTTTCATTTTTCAGTTCCACTGATGCAATCAACGAAAAACAGTTATCTGAATTCTGGAATCGGGATGAGGAAGGAAGTGGATCAGAGGAGGATATTTCTGACTCAGATGGTGGTAACAAATTTATTTCAGTTATCTGTGTTTTACTCGAGGTGGAATGGTTATTAAACTATTCATTCACTTAGATGAGTTGTCATTGGCAGATGGTAATGAGATTGTCAACAACCTAACCAGGTCAAAGCGTCATTCCAGATTGGGAGTAAATGAAAAGCTTTCTTTGTTACAACGGGCAGAAGAAAACTTCTATCGAAACAAGAACACTGATAAACAGGTTTATCTTTGATGAATTATACCCATATTGTTAGTTAAAAAGTACATATTCTCCATTTTCACCTACGCCTCATCCTATTTTCCATGGCTAGAACCTAGGCAGCATGGACACTCCAAAAAATTGAGAGTATTGTGTCCGACGAGCCGACACGCTCCGACACGGTGTCCGACACGCGGTCAACATTTCCGACACGTTGACCATTTTGACTGTGTTCGACACGGTCAAATGGCGTTTTCGTAAAAATATTATATTTTCTAATTTTTTTTTTTTTAAATTAAAATATATTAGTTTCCACCTGATCATATCAATTTTTTTTTTACCTTTTTTCCCCTTAAGTAGATAATAGATCATCTCAGCACCATCGTTGTCATTTCTGTTACGCTCTTATTGTGTTTCCTTCTCTATGATCTCTCTCTCTCTCTCTCTCTCTCTCTCTCTCATCCCAGTTCCTGTTTTTTTATTAAAGCTTCCACCTTTGTAACGTGTTGATGGGTATTATTAATTTAGTTTTATTTTTTTGTTAAATTATTGAATATTGTTGAGATATATAGTCCCACATTGGTTGTATGTGCAACTAATGTGGAGTTTATAAGGTCTTGGGCACTCCCACCCTTTGAGCTAGCTTTTGGGGTGGTGACCTCAAGGTTCTTAACATGGTATCAGAGCCTCGCCGCCCCCCACTTTCTCTTGTGGCATTTCTTAGCACAGGTAGGCTGGACCTGTTGCATTGTCCACTCTTCAAGCCCAATGGGCTCTCGTGTGAGGGGGCGTGTTGAGATATATAGTCCCACATTGGTTGTATGTGCAACTAATGTGGAGTTTATAAGGTCTTGGACACTCCCACCCTTTGAGCTAGCTTTTGGGGTGGTGACCTCAAGGTTCTTAACAAATATTAAATGAAATGTACACTATATAAATTAAAAATATTATTTAATATTAAAACGTGTTCCAACGTGTCGAAATCCATATTTTTTTAGGATTGACGTGTCGGAGTGTCGTGGCACGTGTTGCGTGTCATGTTGGTGCTACATAGGCTAGAACCTTTGGATGGTACCATAATAGAACTTTTGTGATTAGCAATCTGTCCTGGGAAAGGCAGGACAGTTCTTTTCTAAACCCTGCTTATATTCTTGGCTCAGTACTGTTAAGATCAATGCAGCCGAAAATTGTTACCCCCCACTCTAGTCTCCCCCCTTTCCTGTCTGTATACCCACTTATCTAATTTGATTTGCAGAGCATCAAAGTTGACAAGAATGCTATTTCCGATACGATGCGAGGAGCAAGCAGGCAAAGACTGCAGAATGCTCTAAATCAGGCTCAGCAACGGCTTGACGACTTCAAGTATGCTTAGCATCCTTCTTGATTGTTTGATTTCTTTTCTCTATCACCCCACTCCCTCTGCCATTACCAATAAACCATCCACTCAAAATATATCAACATCTGCTTGCTGTAACAAATGTGCAACTTATTTGACATGATCACGTCATTCTTGTGCTATAGGTTAACTATTTAAATACCACAATTAAATCTTTCACCAAAATAATAATAATAATAATAATAATAATAAATTCCACTACTAAATTATATGACAGCTAAAGCATAAGTTCTCAACCCAAAAGTTATTAGTGTAGTGGCGTACCAGTTAGAATCCAGGATTTGACCTACCCAAAGGATTATTGAGGGTCGTAACTCCTGAGAAGGGTGGAGAGGCTCAAACCTTAAATCAGATTAGTCAGGGCCGTTAGGGTTTTAGATCCAAATTGTTTCTACCAAAAAAAGAAAAGCGCAAGTTCTCAAGAGTCAAGTTCCAAGTCCTTGTTTATTAGGATATTCCTCGTGTTTGGTGCACCTTGCCTCCCCCTGACCAGCTAGAAGCAGCAATGATAGTTTAGATGTGAGCTGTTTCCTTATTTCTTAGTTTAAAACATTTATTCAGGATTGAAATGGAAACATCAGCATCTTTCCTCGAAGATGAATGCTACAAGAAATATGGCAAGGCTGGCAAGTCTTTCTATTATTCACAAGTGGCAAGTACTGTAAGGTGGCTGACGACTACAAGTTCTACCAATCTGATGAACCGACTTTGTGAAATTAATGCTTCCACATCAATGAATGTCTTGTCTGAAACTGAACATGCCCTCACACCACCACCTGCTTTAGATCCTTGTGCAAAAGAAGATACTGGCAATGAACTCTCGGGCAATGCTAGATCAGAAACTTCCCCAGGTGTGCCAATGGAAAGTTCTTTGAATGCGAAGTTGCCACAAATACCATCCTTCTCTGAATTCGTAAACAGTAGGAAAGCAAAGGGGGACCAATCAAATGACTCAAAAAAACATTCATCAAGAGTAGAAAAGAAGATGAGGGTACAATAAATTGACTCTTTCGTAGGCTACTATTAATTTGTTTGAATATTAGTTGCAATATATTGTCAAGTGCCAACTTTGGTTTTTGTAAAACAAATAGCTCTCTAGTTTTCAATCATTTTCGTATTGTTCATAAAAATATGTAAAAATTCCATTTGAGCTTTCAAAGCACCGTTGTGTGCAGTGGTTTTGTTGGAGCAAAGCCTCGTGCCCTCATGTAAGTAATAAGCATTAAGGAAACAGTCCTGCAGCAGCTGTGATTAAATTCTAGTACGCCTGTCACGAGAAGCAATCATGTTTGGGTCTTGTGTTTTAGTTTTGCAATTTTTTTAATTTTTTTGGTAATTGTGCAAAAATTATTTTTAAGTTAATAATTAACTCAACGTAAATATTTCAATGTTTTGTGTGTGTGTGTGTGTAAATTTATGACTTTGTTTTTCTCTTCCAGTCCTTTAAATAATATTTTTTGTTTTTTTTTTTGGTGTTGAATAAGAACCACATGTAACCTCCCCTTTTAGAAGTTATTTATATTTTTGTTAGCAAAGCACAATGACGTAGAGTTAACAATTTTAAATTTTTAAGAGATGAAATTGCACTCTAATACTATTTATATAAGGAGATGGATTAACTCATGTACAGATATAAGTAAAATCAACTATGGTTTAGGCCTTTTGTTTATCAAAATAAAAATAAACTATTATCATTATTAGTGTAAGTTACAATAGTATAAAATAATAGTGTCCCTCTATGAAAAATTAGAAAAATTAAATTTTGTTATGAATGATACTATCAAATTTTGTTTGTCTTCTACTAATTGACGACTTAACAAAATTGAATATTTAAAAAAAGATAAAAATGTTTGTTATTATTAATTAATAATAATCTGTACATTACAGTAAAAGTTTGATCTTATGATTTCTTTTTAATTAAAAAGTAAAAAGATGATATGAGAAATGGTATGAAGATGATTATAACTCATATTTCTTACTTGAACAATTAATATAACTATTTTTTCAGTTTTGTTTCATTTGTTGACTCGTCTGACTAAATTTTGTAAACAAAGTTATACTTTTAATTATTATTTTTTATTTTCATTCTTTTATTTTTAGAAGTTTGTGCATGACTTATTTACAATTTTTTTAGCATTACAGATAACAACTAAGTCTAGAACCCTAAAGTTTCGAATTTACAAAATTTTATCCAACATTCAAAAGCATGAATATTTAAAATCAAATAATATTTTGAGCAACTTTGAATCCAAACTCTCAACTAATATCACCATATATTTAAACAAACTTACATTCAAATATATTAAACTTGGACCGATTACTTACTAAATCAGGGTATTAGGTCAATGAGAAATTGGTTCAACCAGTAAATTATTAATTAAATCATTTGAATTGCATTTATATAAAAGTATGTAATAAATATGTCACGAAAAGTATGTAATAAATATATTAATAGAAAGATTATAACAAACATAATGATATGGCTTAGTGGTTAATGTTAATGTTACACACAATAATTCTTAGAAATCGGTTCAATTGAAAAACCAAAATTGGTTTAGCACCGGTTAAACCAAATTTAAGAATGGTTTGAGGCTCCTGGCCAATTTATTTTGTATGGCCATGGACTGGTTGGTAGTCTAATTAAAGGTGATAAAACGGATCCAGCACATCAGGTTGGCCTATTTAACCCGCCACAAACAGCGAGTTGAGTTGAGTTGAGATTTTCAATCCGTCAACCTGTTTCAACCCACCTTACACACACACACACATATATAATTATAACATCAAAAAAAAATATACGTATAATTTTGCTCCCCTCATCAAATTTTTTTGGCTATAACATAGTTAATTATAACTTAAAAAAAATATATACGTATAATTTTGCTCCCCTCGTCAAATTTTTTTGGCTCCGCCATTTTTGATGGATAATTCTAAGCGAGTTTTGAAGAGGGATAGGCCAAGAAATGCTTGTGAGACAAAGTAGAGTTTGAATAGGATTAAAATGTTTGAATATTTAACTATCAAGACCAAGTAATTAATCTTATATGATGTGGTTATTTACATTATGCATATACATTTCTTTCTTAATTCATTATTGAAAGTGATATAAAGATTTTCATATCTGATGAGAGTTGAAATGGAATTGGGAAGTACTACGTGTTAGAATTTAACTGTTTAACACAATTCACCCCTTTTGGTACATTGAGAAGTACTATAGTTTTAGCATTCAGGTGATAGGGCAATCTCATTGATGGTCTCTTATTTTTCTGACCTCTTAATTTTTCCTTAGTTCTTGTTCATTCAATGACATAATACTAGTTCCAGAACTCACAAGAAATGAACAACAAATTTGCATAACAGGGGCAGTACATTCTCCTAGATATATGTACTTGGTCTGAATCATGCAAATCATAAGATGCTTCCATTGCTTGATGCAAGTGAAGACACACCCCTTGATCAATGAGAGCTGAACTCCACTATTTGGGTGCACTATGCAAAGGTAATTTTCCAACAAAGTTGGAATTTAGACTACCTAGGTAAAGATGGTCCTCAAATTCCAAAGCTGAAGTCACAAAGGTAATCACCTTCCCATTACTATCATCAAACTTTCTGATTATCTTGCCGTCAGTTGCCACATTCACCACCGTTGCCATCTTTGTTGCTCCGTTGACAAGTTTAATTAGCCTTGGAAATGAAGCAAGCAAGTGCTTGGATAACCTTGATGTGTGCACAAACTCCATTCCTTCAGAAGTAAACTGTGGCATCAATATTGTAGAAAATTAATTCAACATCATGCCTTAATAGTTTGAAGATTCAAGTTTAATGATTATTATAATCTTTATGTTTTATATGGCCAATAATTCATATTAATATTACCTGAACCAAAGCAATCCAGAAAGACCCATCAGGAGCAAGATTAATATTATCAGGTCCACCAGGGAGGTTTTCAATAAAAATCTCTCTTTTGCCTTTGTTTTCTCCTTTCAGCCAATACCTCAGACACCTACATCTAATACACAATAAAATAGAAAATAGAAAATAATTGTAAAGATGATAGAAAGAAGTTATTTCTACGAGGAAGGTTACGTTTACAAATTTTTTGTTTACAAACTCTTACAAACTATATTAAGTATGACCGGTCATAGTTCAATCAAGAGTGTATGACCGGCCATACTTAGTGTAATTTGTAAAAAAAATTTGTAAACGGGTCATTTCCCTATTTCTATACCTAAACTCATATACTCATTCTTTTTAGAAAAAGTTTCAAAATACCCTACTTTTTGTAGTAAATTTTCAGTATACTACATACTCCTTTAGTAATTTGCTTACTTCCAAGATTCACAGACCACAAGATAATCTTCGTCCTTGGAGAGTGCAACACCATTGGCAAAGGCCAAGTTATCAAGGACAATGACTGTCTCATTTGACGTGGGATTATACTTGAGAAGCTGTCCATGAGGTCTTGCCTCTAACACATCCAGATACCAATTGTCAAGATCAAATTTGGTACTAGCAACACTGAAATATATGTTCCCATCCGAAGCTTCTATCACATCATCTGCAAACCTGGTTCAAGTTCTACCATTAGAAAAATTCATTGCTATATAGCCTATGCTGGTGGCTGCATTAATAAATTTAGGGTAAGTTAAATAATCACCCTACACTTAGGTTCTTTTTATAGAAATTTATTGGTAGTGACGGCACGGAAGTAGGGGTTCATAAATAGGGACAAGGAAAACATTTTTTTTTTTTTTTTTTTTTGATAACAGAAAAACATTTTTTCATGTGGTAGGAGAATTGTTTTCTCCTAGTGATCTTTTGATTTTCGTGCAATATTTTTTTTATTTTTAATAGATGTGGACCCTGCACAAGATATGTGAGAAAATTAAAACCCATAGGGATATTCTTGTCTTACAATTAAGTGATACGTTTAATTGTTGTTTGGGTTGGGTACTTGTCTGTACCGGATCCAATCCAAGTATTAAACTTAGGATCCATGGGAACACTTTCACTTCTTAAAAATAAATATGGGTTCATTTTTTGTGCAGTTACTGCAGATAAGTCATCTGCAGTAAATCTAATACGGCGTCGTTTTGAGGTGGAAATCGTGGTGTTTTTATAATTTTAATTTATTTCAGGATTATCATAGTCTTTATAATTATAATTTTCTAATTTTTCAATCCCAAAACGATGTCGTTTTGGAAATAAATACAGATAACTTATCTGCAATAACTGCAGAAATATTTTTCTGAATAAATATACGAAAAAATATTTCTGCTTTAAATGTATAAAACTTTATCTGCAGTTCACTATGGCTCACCAGTAAAACACTATGTAATACTTACGCGGATTGGATGCCTAACTATATTCTTGATACCGAGCAGGTAGTAGATAAAGTTTTTTGTGAGACCCCTCCTACGGAGATTTATTTATTGTATTTAGCTGATCTCTCTTATGTTGGGAGAGATCATGCTTTAGTCATTGACTAGGTTCTTGTTTTTTGTTTTTTAGGCATTTAGCCTTTTATTTACCCAAAAAAAAAAAAAAAAACACTATGTAATTTTTTTAATTAATGGGTCCCACCTATGTTAAAAAAAAATGTCTTTGGGGAATTTTTTGAAATGAAGCAAATATTTTTGATGAAATGTTAACAAAGTTAGAGCATGTGGAATTCAAACTATGCACGGATATTGATTCATAATCATGTTCTGATGGATCATGACCTGTAAAACTTGGACTACATAGATACTATGCTTGATCTGCAATGCCTTGTGCTTCTCAAAAGAAGGAACATATAAAGAGACCAAGTAATTTTAGGGGAGGCGGTGGCACCCCCTAGCCCCCAGTTCCGCCTGTGTGTGAGAGTGAGACAACTCAGACTAGGAGCGAAAAAAAAAACAAAAAACTTTGGAAGTATTAATCACGTACGCATCTCAAATGGCACCAATCTTTGAAGCATCATCTACAGTCACTGCCAACTCACGGGTAGTGTGAGTGTACAGGCCTCACACAGTAACTTTGCGTACAACTTGTTTAACTCTTTTGTTTTTGTTTTTGTTTTTATCTCTCTCTTTTTTATCAAACCGCTGATATCATCCTACCCAAGTCTTTATACACTTGAACGGGTGACATTAATTTAGTTAAAAAATTTCTTGGCTTGCAAAAGGTACTTTTAAAATAATTTCACATTTAACATATAAAAACAGTAACTATTGCAAGAGAATAAACGGACCCTGTGGTAGAAACAAAGTAAATGAATAATACACAAAAGCAATCTGCATATATGAATTATTTTCCTGCGACCCTAACCTTAATTGAGAACCATTTACTTGTGAAATGAGAACACTGAAACCATCTTCTGTAACTTTGAGCAAACCCTGCAAATCAAAATTATGTTCTTTAGTCTTGCAGCATATATTTTATCCTGAACCCTTTTGTCTTTTTCTTGAGAAAGTTAGAGGCTAGAAAAATAATAACCATGCTCTTCTTGCAACTAATTCAATATCCACACCAGAATATGTCTGACTCGTATATTGATCTTTTACCTTCGCAGTATCACATACAATGAGTCCACCTTCTTTTGCTGTTGTGATTCCTAGCAAAGTATGACTATCAATATGCTTCCAATTCTCCCAATTTCCATTCCTGCGCAATCTTTTAATCCAACCATCTCGAGTAACAGCATAGAGAGTTCCTTCTTTATCCACACAAACATCTTCTGGTTGCTTCAGAAGTCCTTCTCCAAGTTTAATAACATTCTGTTAAAGGAAACAATATTAAAGAGAAAAAAAGTTATAATTAAATACTAATTCTTGAACACCATAAGACCATATAATAAGAAGTGTTAACTTTTTACCTGCAATTGGTTGTTTTTGGTTGATGTTAAAGGTGAAGGTGGTATCTCTAGCAAAACTGGATCAATGGGTGAGAAGTAGAATACTTGAACTGTGAGAGCAACTAAAACTGCCAGAACCAAGCTTGAGCTTACTGTTACACACTTTCCCATAGAGAAATGAATATTAATCAGATTGGAAGCTAAGCTATGTTCTTAGAGCCAGATGCTCTGCTATATATATGCAGTATAGTGAAGAATAAAGAACTATTTCAATCTAAAATTTAGTAGAAAGTGAAGCGTGATGATGATTGAATTCGTGATTTTGTGGTCATTGAAGCTATGATACCATGTAAAGAATTACTTCAATTCAAAATCTTAAGGTGTTAAGTGAGGACTTTTTAATGATTTATATTATTCTCTAACATAAAATTCTACCACGAGAATGATTTTATTTTTGGGAGAGCTAGTCCATTATGACGTAGATGTTACCGACTCGAATACGATTCATGTTTATAAAAAAAAAATTACGATATCAAGTTTTATCCAACATAAAGTTGTATATGGATAACATGTGGATATAAATGAAGTACTTATTTGTTCTGTTATCTCTATCATAATTCAGTCCATAAATAGTTCGACGCAAGGACACCACCACAAGGTTTCTTATTGGACTTGTGTTTCCTTTTCAGGAAAAAAAAATTAATAGTCTTTATAGTTTTAAAATTTATAATAAATAAATTGATCTTTATAGTTTAAAAAAATTCAATTAGATCAGGAGCTAATAATAGACTGGACTCGGTAATACGTACTGTTGATTTATTTTTTTTATTTTTTATCGGAACTCATATATGATGTGGTTAAACTATTGAAATTTTCAAAAGATACGCAGATATTCATATTAATTTGAACTTAATTTTAATATTCACCGATGGAATAAAAAATAATTTTGATTTAAACGCGAAATCTTGTAAGTATGATTTACAATATGAGAACTTTTATTTTTATATTTTTATACTAAGGTTATACTTAAGTTTGAACTTATGAACTCGTGTTGACTATTCAAATCCCTCACCCTAAATCAATCTTAATGTCTTAAGAACTTTTAATTTAAGTGATGAATTTTTCAATAAACTACGTAATAAAAATTTAAGCTACATCATAGCATGAATTCTGAATTACGTCGTTTTCAATTTTCCCCTTTAATTTATAATGTTAAGCAAGTACTTTTTTCTTTTCAAATTAAGATGAAAATTGCTAAATAATCTAAAGATCAGCCTAAGAGTTCTTCTAGTGATTCAACGTTTGAGAGGTTATTTTTGGCTGATGACGAACCTCTTGATACTCTACCCATCTCTGGGCTATTCCCTTCTATTGAGAATGCTAGCATCAGAAACATGGGGCGTTGCCCCTCTACTGAGGAAATTAAGTAGGTTGTCTGGAGCATAGGTGGCCTGAAAGCTCTTGGCCCCGATGGTCTAAACGCCTTATTCTATCAAACTCAATGGCAATCGGTGACTGAGTCTATCTGCAAACTGGTGATCGACATCTTCAATGATCCTGCCAAAGTTGAGAATATCAACCAGACTCTCGTATGTCTCATTCCGAAGGTGGAAAACCCTGTCACCATTAAACAGTTTCGTCACATCAGCCTTTGTAATGTTTCGTATAAGATTATTACAAAAATCATTGCCAATCGGATGAAATGTTTTCTACCCAAATTGATTGCTCCCAACCAATGTAGCTTAGTCTATGGGAGGAACAATGCAGATAATGTGATAATTGCCCAAGAAATCATTCACTCTATGAGGAAGAAAAGTGGAAAGAAAGGCTGGATGGCCATTAAAATAGATCTAGAGAAAGACTACGACAGGCTAGATTGGAGCTTTCTTATGGACACGTTGAGGGATGTTGGCTTTCCGGATAACCTCATCCACCTCATTCACCAATGTGTGTCCACTCCATCGATGAATCTCCTTTGAAATGGGAAAACAACTAGACCCTTTCGTCCTTCTCGCGGGATCAGACAGGGGGACCCCCTATCACCCTATCTTTTCGTCTTGTGAATAGAAAGGCTAGTGCACATCATCAACAATTCTACAGGTGTTAAAGCCTGGAAACTGATTGTCCTTGCTAAGGAAGGTCCGCCCCTCTCTCACCTCTTCTTTGCTGATGATATTCTACTGTTCGCAGAAGCATCCTTGGAGCAGGCGAGGATTATTAATCAGGTGTTGAAGTCCTTCTGCCAAGCTTCGGGCCAAAAGATTAGTCATGAAAAATCCAAGGTTTTTTCTCTAGGAACGTCAATCATATCCGTGCTCAGGACATCAGCAGTGTCATGGGGTTCTCCTTGACAGGGGATCTTGGGAAGTATCTTGGCATCCCTCTCCATAGCAGAAGGGTTACAAGGAACTCTTTTCATTATATCCTTCAACGGGTTAATTCCAAGATGTCTAGTTGGAACCAAGCTTCTTTATCGTTTGCTGGTCGGGTTACTTTGGCAAATTCTGTTTTGAATACTATTCCAACTTACTCCATGCAGACAACAGTGGTCCCCCTCACCTTATGTGACGACATCGAAAAGTGCACCAGAGTTTTGTTTGGGGCTCTACAACCGCTCATAGAAGGATGCACTTAGTCAATTGGGAATCAGTTTGTAAACCTCTTAAGGATAGTGGTCTAGGTATGAAAAACTTATGTGAGTTCAATGGTGCAATGCTTATGAAAGTTGGACACGACATGATTACAAACAAAGAGTGCCTATGGGCTATGGTCCTGAGAAATAAGTACGAGGTGGCCAGGGATCTTATTCCTACTCTCTCCCACGCTGGTCAGGGATCGAATCTCTGGAAGGGGGTGAGAAAATACTGGGGGGATATTGTGGAAGGCTCGAAAATTGCTATCGGTGATGGGAATCTCACAAAATTTTGGACAGATAGATGGCTTCCTCACACTGGTAATCTCCTCGACCTATCGCTTGATAATATCCCTAGCAGCTTTTTGGGCAAAAACGTAGCTGAGTATGTTGACACCGATGGTAATTGAAATTGGAACCTCTTCAGTCACCTGCTAATGGAGGAGGCTTTAAACTACATCACTGGCATCATCCCTCCTGATCCGCAGGGAGGAAATGACAGAGTTATTTGGAAGTATACCAATGATGGTAGGTTCTTAGTAAAGTCTGCTTACAGGAAGCTAAAGGATACCAGCCACCGTTCTGATCAAGTGAATTGGAATTTGGCTTGGAAATGGAAGGGGCCCCAACGGATTAGATCCTTTCTTTGGCTGCTCTTGGGGAACAAGCTTATGACCAACGAGATTAGGACCAAGAGGAACCTGTGCAACTTGGATGCCTGTCCTAGATGCTTAACCCAAGTGGAGAACTGTATCCATTTTCTTAGAGACTGCATTTGGTCTAGGGAGTTATGGAAACGCCTTGTCCATCCATCCTACCAAGGGTTTTTTTTTCCAAAGCAATCTCTTGGATTGGCTGTCTACCAATCTTCAAAATGATAAAACTGGAGATGGTCAAGTCGCTTGGAGCCTCACATTTGGGTGTGTGTGTTGGTTCATTTGGAAGGAAAGAAACAATCTGATTTTCAATGGTCATTCGAATAGCCCAACCCAAATCGCTTTTGGTGCTAAGCAATTCGCTCTCAATGCCCACCAGACTACAACTACCTTGGTTAATGTTGGTTTGCTTGCGAACACAAGGACAAAAGTTCTTATTAGATAGAATCCTCCAGAAGATGGCTGGGTGAAAATCAATATGGATGGGGCGTGCAAGGAGAATGGAAGGATATCGGGATGTGGAGGAGTTATACGAAATAGCAATGGAACTTGGATTGTTGGGTTCAACAAAAATTCTGGCTTCAATAACTCCTTCGTTGCTGAACTTTGGGGTATTCTGTTGGGTTTAGAGTTGGCATGAGATAGAGGTTTTAAATCCATATGGCTAGAGTCTGACTCCATGACAGCGGTGGATATTATCCAAAAAGGTTGTGATGAGTTTCAAAGCTATGCAAGGCTGGTGACGAAGATCCAAAAGATCTTATACATGGAATAGACTGTCAAAATAAACCATATATACAGATAAGCCAATGGAGTGGCTGATTGGTTAGCCTCCAACCTTATGCCTGGAGTTTGGGGCATGCAGGTCTTCGAGTCTCCCCCTCAGGGTTGTGCTGTTTTGCTAGATAACGATAGGATGGGATCTTTGTATCCCAGAATGATCAAAATGTAACTGTTTTTTTTGCTTTCCTTTCTCTATCCAAAAAAAAAAAATGTTGCGTCATGATCCGACCAATACAAATGAGGACTAAACTAATCATATATGTGGCTCAGTTTGGTCCAAATGTAATCTGAGTTGGAGGTACAAGATCTTTGATGTTTTTTTATGGGATGACATATCGGGTTGAAGTTGGATTTCTTCCAGTGGTTGCACTCAATCAAAACAAGATGGAGTGTGTACTGATCTGGATAAATATTAATACAAATACAAGGCCCAAATCAAAATCCTTCACAATGAAGCAAAGCCTTAGTCAAAGAAGGCTGCAAGCTCCATAATATTAAAAGCCCATGACAGCCAGCAAACTCCATGACAGCCAGCAAGCTCCACAACAATAAAGAGCTTATCTCATCAAGCTCCTCAACGTTAAACATGGCAGCTCTACTACTTTGCCTCCAAGAGGAAGCAAACCTGATCATTACGTAACATCTCCCAAGTTGATCATCTCTCCATTATAAATACATACTATTAACACAAAGGTACTCATCTTCTCCTACATAATTAAACCTGCTTGAACCAAATCTGACTTGAGCGTCGGAGTGTCTTGCAGGTATACCCCCCATCTCATTCCATAGAAGACCCATGGGATAAAGCGGTCCAACTGCAAGATGCTCTGACCCAAGACGGTTCCAGGCTGTGAGAGGAAGATCACATGATTGGCCCAGTTGTAAAAACCTATTATGATCATTGGCGCCGTCTGTGGGAAGGATAAATTTCTACTCCCACCACCATGTGCAAAATCAACAATGAAGAATACCAGGGAAGCTCTCATACTCTTACTTTTCTATCTCGCTATTATTTTCGTACAGCTTTATACATGAATTCTTTTTTGGACATAACACGCTGTGGAAATAAATCTTTGGTATCTAGCTTTAAAACACGTTGCTATCTTGGTATCACTCATAAGCTTATGCGATTGCCACGAGAATGCCATGTGGCTTCATGCATGTA